AAAGATAACATATTAAAGTATATATCATTTGAAAGCTTTTTAAATTTACTAGATATTACTAATTTGTGAATGATTGTGTGGGTGTGCATTACACTGTAATTGGAATATTGCATGTTTTTTGGAGATTGTGATTTAAATTATTTCAGATAAGCATTTTGTATTATTTAATTTTAAATTGTTGATGTTCATTTTTGGGCATTGCACAATGTTGAATTTAAAAGGGCTAGCACTTTTTGTGTATTTTTTAGTTATATTTAGAATATTCAACTTATGTATGTAATATGTATATTTATATATATGTAAATTTATATATGTAATATCTGTATTTTTTAGTTATATTTAGAATATTCAACTTATATATGTAATATGTACATGTATATTTATATAATATGTAAATTTATGTATGTGATATTTATATTTTAATAATATCTGTGCATGATCATTAGTATCTTGAGTTCTTCTTAAGAAAAAGATTCTTTTCTGGTTTCTGATTATTAAATGAAATATTCAGACATATTTTATGGCAAATTGCTTGTTTAACTTTGAATAGAAATGTTAAACTGGGATTGAATTAACTAGACTTTTGCTGAACTGTGGCTTATGAAAATATCTCTTTTTCTGCTCATTAAAATAATGACCAGAACAATGAATTTATTTTAAATTTTAAAACAATAAAAAGTAATAGAAATTTTCTAGAATGGCTGAAATTATTAACTATATCAGATAAAAAAGATTCTCTAAACAATGCAGTTGGATACCATCTTGGAGAGGACTTATATAGGCCATGTCTGACGTCCAATCCAATTTTGTAATCTGACTTCACATAATAAAATACAAAATGTATTGATTAAATTAAAATAAAATCTTTCTAGCTTTTGAAAGCTTACAATCTATTAGAATAGATTTGTAGCATTTGGTATCTATAAATGACTATTTCATCATATGTGAAAATATGAAAAATTTAAATGTAGGAAGCATATATAATAAACTAATTTTTTTTAAAATTGAAAAAAAAAACAATTAGATGAAATAAAGGTCAGATTTAATCTAAGTGATAATTGTATCTTAAGCTTCAATTTGTATGTAAAGTTCAATAATTTTAGATATGATAAATATTAGGATGTCTCTGTAATGTATTTTTTGTAGAATGAAGGAATCAACTGCATATTGTGAATAATTAATTATTATAAAATTTAAGATATGGTATTATAAATTGTTTAAGGTAAAATATTCGTAAATTAAGTGACATAGTAACATGGGATTAAATTTTTTTTACGTCTTTTAAGTTTTTCTCATCTTTTCCTAAGATACATACTGTAACTTATTTGTTTGAGCATCAAATTTTTACCCACCCCACCCCCCTTTGAAGAAAAGGATATTGGTTTTACACCTATTGGTCAGTCGGTGTCAAATAGACATCAAACCTAATACATTTAATTAATGTACACCTGATACAATGTATTTCTTACGGAGTAGATGGCCTTCGAGTGTTGAGGTCACACTTTAAAAAGAACATGTAGGTTAAACTGTTTTGAAAATAGGAAAATTTTGTCTTTTCAGTATCTTGAGAAACTTTAGCTTGACATAAATCAAATTTAATTCACTGGTCCTTTGATTAGAAGATGACCCTTATTGATTTGGAGGTTACAAGATTAAGGGTCAAGCTAGACTCAAAGAAATCTGGACATGATGATTTTTCCAGCTCAGTATAAAATAGAAATCATTTCCTTGACTGACATCAAATTTTGTAAGACTGATGGCCCTATTGATTTTTAGACCACATGTTCAAAGGTTAAAGTCAAAATGGAAGAGAAATCCTTTTCTTGAGGGACATTGAAATTGCCCCCTCCCCCTGCATTGATGTCAAATTTGTCATTTTAAAATACCACATGGTCTATAAATGCTTGAAACATTTGTCTTGTCTAATTCTGTCATATGCTAGGTTCTTTTGAAGTTTGGGGTTTCCATAAATAGGAAATTGTTCCCATATTCAACTGATGTCTTCAAAAATGATGAACAACCATCATAACCTTTGCATTCGCCATGGGTTTAGTTTTGCAACCAAGTTGTGATTTTTATCTCTATTTTTTTTCTGTGTGGCATCAGAACTAATTTGTTAATTTGTGAATTGATACAAAAAATTGTACAAAACATTTCTCCTTTGCTTATAAATTATGTACTGAACATTATATTAAAGTTTAGTTACATTTAAGATGTTCTTTGTTGTTTTTTTTTAATGTGCTGCATGTGGTGATAAATTATTTGCATTCCAAGCTCAAAAGTCCATCATACAATAAAAATCAGGAGCGATGCAAACCCGGACCTCTAAAATATCAGAGGAGGGATCATCACTGGTTCCATGGTGACTCATCAGAAATATATATTTATAGATACAAAATGTATGTCTTAGATGTAAAAGTGATTATATAGGAAAGAATTTAGGCCTAATCCTGTATTATGAGCAATATATAGACTAAAGACATTTCAAATATTGAAAATCAATGACTGCAGTCTATAATACTAGTATTTACATGCTCAGATGAGGCTGCATATGACCTACATACTAGTAATACATGTAATATTCTTGGTGAACATGGTTCAAAGCGTAAAATGCCACATGTGGTGTTTTTTGAAATGCATCTATAATAATAACTTAGTCTGGTGGTTTGGTGATTCAAAAGCTCCATTTGTATACATGCATGGTTGCATGATGCTGCGTGGACATTCTAATTCTCGCTTTGCATGGATGTTATCAGTACACTTTATACTTTAATGACTGGCAAAGGACTGTATCTAAATCTTCAATGATTTTTGACAGAAATACAATTTTTTTCTTTATTTGAAAGGGTTTTCTCCATTTATTTCTAAAGACTTGTAAATATTGAGCCATTTATGGTATACGAGTTTAACTTGATTACAAGTTTATCAGGCACCGATTCCATGAAAAATCTACAAGAACAGAAATATCATAGCAGGATATTATATACGTGTACCTTGGGTTGTTGACTGCTAGTCTAGTCAAAATATAATGCATTTTGCGAGCCTATACATTCATCGTGCAGATTGCCAAAGCTTTACAAAGATTACTTTACTACTGTTGGTAGCAGTGGTACTTTTAAACGTATATACGCTCGTAAAAAACGGCCTTTTCCTCTCCTAGCTGGCCTTGTGCGAAAAAAGATGGAATATCTGTAATTTTTTGGGTCCAATGAATGAAGATACAGTATATTGTATTTGGTAATATTTCTTGCATACATGTACTTGTAAAATAAGAAAATATAAAGTAAAAGTTGACAGAACTCCGAAAACTGAATTTAAAGTTGAGAGAAAATTGGTTTAAGGGATAGTCGCACTTTAAAGGTTTTAAGCTGTGTATGATCTCCATTGGATTTATTGAAATTTTGTGGTAGAATTTAAGCTTTTCAAAATATTAAATTTTGAGAATATGCAAATTATTTTCTTAACATAGGATTATTGTTATTCTTCTTAGATATTAATTAATAATAGAAGAACAGCACTTTTTTCACAGAAGATCCAAAAATATATACCCTGCAATAATAGCTCCGTGGTATTTTGACGTAGCTAAGAAATTAATTGCAAACATCATTTCAAATGTCTGGGTATTACATTGTTCTAGTATACCACCAACTTTAATATTTGAACCGATATGTAAAGATGTATTCTATAAACATACAGTTTATAATGACAACCCACCCCAAATTGATAAGTATACACGTATCATAATGCTTGATAAAGTTTTCATTACAACGCATAGCCTCTTGAAATAACTGAATTTAATGACATGATAAATATATAAATGGCAAAAGTGACGTGAAATATGTAGAAAATATAACAGTAAAATATTTACAAGAAAGGATGAAAAACAATATTATAAATGTCTTTTTACCCGATCGTTAACAAAGTCAGATTAACAAGCATTAACAACAACGGCAGCCAGTATAACGTCTACCACGTGATACAGACACTGGTCTTTGATTGGACACTGGTCAATATCACTTGTCACGTGATCCCAAGAAAACGCACTTTGATCACTAGAAGAATCATGAGTCCCTCGCTCTGTGTCATTAACTCGGATATCACTGAGTCATAAATTTCGATTTTCCTCTTCAGTTTTTACACGTGTTCACATCAATATCCTCCAGTTCAAAACAAATCATTTGTCTGCGGACTGTACGTAGTCGACACCCCTTCTTTTTCTTCTCACAGCCTTTCAGTCCTCTCTTGAGCTTTCGTTGGAAGTCTTTTACTGACTCTGTGGAAATAAAGGACAAGAATTTGTCAGAATCCATATAAAATTCTTACAAATTACCACCATGAAAACAAAGCCAACACTGTAATTTTTTAACATTTTTCTTTTGATAATTATCTTTGTTGCATAATTCTTGTCTTGATCGATTGATTGATTGATTTATATATTATTTGACGCCCCTCTCGAGAATTTTTCACTCATATGGAGACGCCACCATTTCCCGGTGGAGAGCTGCAAATTTTGTCTTATAATGGGCACTCTGGGCCATTGAGCAGGGACGGATCTTTTTCGTGCCAGCACTCACTGCGACACGGGTCCTTGGTTATTGTGGTCCCATCCGAAGGACAGGTCTCCACATTCCACAGTGAGATTCGAACCCGCGACGTAAGGTCGCGACTCTAGCGCCACACGGGCGACTGTCTTGATCGAAAATTACACCAGAAATCATCAAACAAATGTTAAGATTTTTATTCTAGCTTTTAATCGCCATACTCAGTATCTATTGGAACCGCTGTTTAAAGTTGTAGCCTTTACGCTGTATTCTGTTAAATCATCTTTACTCAAACAAATCTCATCTCGTGAAGATTTAAATATTTAAATAAAAATTTAGTTATATTAACCTTTAAGATATCATCCTGTCTTGTAGATTGAAATTATAAAAATCAATTTGATAAAATAATCCAGTCTCAAAAATTTAACATCGATTTTACTTTGTACTATTGAATCAATTGCACCAAAAGCAAATGATGTTGGATAATCAAAACAAGAGGCGATTAAAAACCACTCCCTTCCCTCAAAGCTTGAATATTGATAAGGTACGTATCAACAAAACACGCTAATTATCAGAATCAATGCTATTACATTGATAAGAAGCTTAACACCTGTCTTCATATGTAGATTAGATGAAATACTTGTCACTTACTAGCACTTGCAGCCCCAAGTATGGCATTTGAGTTCTGTATCTGTCGTCTAAAAGAATAGGAAGAACATTTCTCCGGATCTTTTCTTTCTTTTATTTTATCTGAAAATAAAATAAATAAGTAATATTAAAATTCAATTTACATGTAAACTGTATTGTTTGGCAGTTGAGTTATCATATATTCAATGGATTACATAAATCAAAGATCACCACAACATTTTCAAGTTACTAGTATTACTGCTACGTATTCATTACCGCCACAAAATATTGGACATTACACAGCTACTGTTGTTCCTGCTACATTTATCATATGTCTAACCAGGAATTTATTTCTTTATCCAGCATCTTACAAGCACAAGGGATTAAGTTAAAAATATTTTTTTTCGTAATTAGTAGTCATAAATGTTTTATCCCACATTTTTTTCATCAAATTTTGTCCTTTAACTTCCTCTATGATAATTTAATTGTACCTTAAACAACAGAAAAAATTAATTGTATTTGGAAGAACCTGATTGTACACTGTGCTTTTGACAGGATGTTTCAGTAATAACATGTACATGTGTGTATATTGTAAAATTATGTTCTGTGATATATTCCATCATCATAATCACTGTATAAGCTGGAAACAGAGGAAACAAGGACCTCTAAAATATCAGAGAGGGGATCAGGTGCCACTGAGGAGTAAGCATCTCATGTAAACCGATCAATCCCGCCGTGCTCTCTCTCTCTCTCTCTCTCTCTCTCTCTCTCTCTCTCATGTTTGGGCAAACGAAAACTCAATAAATCCATTGTCATATAATGGCTTAACAATTAGTATTAAAAATGTCCACCGGAATTCGACTTAATGACAAATTTTTATTTGCTAAAGGCCACTGCATGTATCGAAAATACAATTTGCAAAATGTTATTTAGCATTACTACAACAGAATTTTATCTAAATATTTGAAAAGGTTCTTATTTCTTTGATAAACAGTTAAGTATCTTCCGTGATAGACGGAAACCCAGCACTTTGGTAAAATTCCAGACGTTAATCAAGACTATTAATATCTTTGTATCATCAACTACCTTCTCAAAAGGCTTTGCGTCGTTTTAAAACTTGCTTGTACTTAGACCTTTCTGTATTGAAACAAAAGGGAAACAAAATCCAACTTAACCATGGATATGTTCAAGTTGTCACATTTATCATAGTAGTCATGTTTATCATAAAATGCTGGTGCTAGTTTGTCATTAAAAAGTAGCATATATTTCTTGAAATGTCTAACCACACAACCTAACAGAAAGCGAAATTCTTTCTTTCGCTCGGGGTCCGCTATCCAGCATCTTACAAACACAAGAAGCATTCAGTTAAAAGAGCTTTTTCTTTACAGAGCTGTCAATCAGGATTAGCGATTAACCAATCAGCGCATCAACCAATCAAAATAGTATTAATCCGACGACATTCGAACGTGTTGATTTAATTTATAAATGCAAACATACAAAAAACGTTGAATTGCTGTGTAAATCTTTTATGATTATAAAAATATTATTTAATATTAATTTAATTGTCATCCTCCGGGGTGCATATTTATATATTTATTTTCTTTTTTTTATTAAGGCAATTTATTATTATGTTTTAATTTTCCAAAATTATACATTGTACATGAATATACACTATTAAAGAACCTATGAAATACGTCTGGTTTATCAAACTCTTTGCGATTTCCAGACTTGAACGAATTAATTATGCTAATTATACATTTACAAATCGTACATTGTTTCATTCTAAAATGTAATATATTGACAAAGAATAATCAAAATATAATATAGTATTTTAACATATGAATTATGATCCATTATAAATATTGAAATGTTTTTGGACTAATTATTGCGGGAAAAAAATTATTGATAAAGGTGTAAGCAATACGTAGTTATGTGGGTTGTTCGAGAGTTGGTAACGCAAACTAACTGTAGAGTTACACTAAATTGAAGGAATAATCTTTTTATGTATCATCAGGAATTGCGTTAAATTCACGTTCATTCTGAGGAAGTCATTCAGTTTGTTAATACCATTAAGGCGGAATGCTTCATCTCATGTAAACCGATTTCCATATACACGTATTTTTTTCATGCCCAAGAAGATCAAGAAGATTAACTCTCTCTCTCTCTCTCTCTCTCTCTCGATGTAAATTTTGGTAATTTTATGTAACACGTCAATTGAGAAATCATAAATAAAATAATTAAATAATTATTTTATAAAGACAGTGTGTGTGTGACAATTATATTAATATATTCTTATCCGGAATTATTTGTCTTTTTCTTGACAAATTTTTATTTGCTAAAAAAAATCTTATATACAGTGTAATTTTCTTTAGAAAATACAATTTACAAAATGTTATTTAGCATTACTAAAATAGAATTTCGCGCCCATCTTATTTTCTGGAAAGGTTCTTATTTGTGTTGATAAACAGTTAAGTATCTTCCGTATAGAAGATGTACAACCCCTATTTTGTACATTCTTGTTGGCACGAGGGAGTCATTTTATGGAGATTTATTACACACTTAGTAATAAATACAGGTTTTTTGCATATGCGATATGGATATCTTTGTATCATCAACTACCTTCAGGGCAAAAGGCTTTGCGGGGCTGATATTTAAAACTTGCTGCAGGGCTGTACTTAGACCTTTCACACCCTTAGTAAATTAAACCACAAAACAGTACTTGTGATCATACACAATTTTTGGTGCGTTCAATTCTCTTAATTTTAACTTTTTGAAAATAAGGTTATATGTTAATTTACAAATACATGTAATACTATTATTTTCAAATGAGTAGTCATTGAAATTATCAAAAAATGCTTATGAGACATTAGACTATGTACATGAAAAAGTAGTCCATGCAATTATTTACTTACTTTCTTTTCTTGAAATGTAGCTGTAATGTATTTCTCTCTATCAAGAAGACGTACAACCTCTATTCTGTACATGTTGGCACGAGGGAGTCATTTTATGGAGATTTATCTCTATGTTTCATAACCTATAATCTTTGACTTTATAGCTATAATGCGAAATTTGAGAGTAAAGTAGATGAAAAAGAACGACAAACCTTTGTGAACAATATATCTCCAGATTTCCACCATTTGGGATTTTACATGATCAAATGCAATAACTATAGTGTCATTGTCTTTTCCATTTTCTTTCCCACTAATTTTAAGGCGGTAAATAATAAAATCAGTCCTTGCAGGTAAACACATTTTATTGAAATGGCATGGAAGAGCGCCGTCTAGGGGCGAAGCAAGTGGTAGTATTGACGGGCACTGTTTATCAAACATGGTGGCATTATTATTGACTTTTGTGCATCTCTTTGACTTCTTTCTTTGCCTTCGTCTATTTCTATTTCTCCTTTTATTTCTACGACCACCTGTAATGAAAATTTAGTTAAATATTAATTTCATAACAAGAACACTGTCGAAATTTTTTATGTACCCGATAATTCTTAATTTTGCCATTCCCTGCAATTCTATTTAACGTAGGCAAATTATGGAATTGGTTATTAAAATCAAGTTTTAGAAGAAATTATCTGAATTCTACATTTTTGGTGTTAAAAATTGTTGATACCTTTTCGTTTACTTCGTCCTTTTTTGTTTTTCCTTCTGTTCTTTCGTTTATTTTTTCTGCCTTTCTTTCTTCGTTCCCTATCTTTTTTACATACTCCTTTGACTTTTTTGATTGGTCGGTCACATGTTTTACAGCAATGTCCCGGCACACGATACTGCTTCTTACAAGATAATGTCGGACATTGCTCTCTTTCACATGTAATTGCTCCGTTCTGTAAAATACACAAAACGTCTGTTATATCCTTTTAATTGAATATCAATAATCAGACTAATTCTTTGAATGTAGTCTTAATTATAAATCCATGACCTGTGTTTAAGGTCACAATTTGCAGATCTCCACCGGCAAGTGGTGGCGTCTCCAAATGAGTCAAAAAAAAATGTCGAGAATGACGTTAAACACCACCACCGACAACAAAACCTTAAAGCCGGATTGAATTGTGTCATTATAAAAGAATTGTTTTCAAGATTCATGTAACAACAGATTTTGAGTTTAAACAATGGACAGTGGACACTTTTTAAAAGTCCCTTATCAATGAAACCGGTGGACCTATTATAGGTTTCATTCTCTTGTGACTGTCTGTCTGTCTCTCTCTTTGGTATGTGAGTCTACCATTTAGTTATAGATCAGTTATAGATCAAGATCGCGTTTTGTTCTGCTTCATGATTTGTATGGAACTGTGGTCTCTTCAGTTTTGAAGGGGAACCAGATTACATGTGCCAGTAGGGATTGGAAAAATCTTTCAAATTGACAATGACCATTTTTTCATCTTAAACTTTGAAATTTTTTAGTACATGCATATAAATATATCTCATTTATTAGTTTCGTCAAGAGATATTCCGTCTGTTAGACATACCAGACACGTGCACGTTATGCACGGGTCCTTTTCTCCAGCGACTTCCGGTTTCCAGTTGGTTGAATTCTTCCTTTCAATTCCATTTCCATCTGTACAGTCTATCGAAGAGAGATTAATATATAAAAAAAATTCTTATGATGTTTAGCTGAAATTATATAATTTCCATCATATGTTTAATGGTGGATAAAAATTGGAGGATCTTGAATTAAAGTCTTTCGAAAGATAAATTAAAAATGTATATATGTGTCTATTTAGTATAACGATTTCTTTAAATTGAAGGAACTTAATATAGGTATTTTCAATTAACCTTGTATCATTCAAATCAATAATCAAATTATAAATACAGTTTTGCTTGCTATACATGTATATACATAACTAATAGTTTAAATACATTATTATACATGTTCAAATTCCGAGTTTAGCCTCTCTGTGTGGAAACTACTATTATATCTAAAATTTTCAATAAAAAATGTAAGGACTGTCATTGAAAAGTTTTTGGTATCGATATATCAAATGCCATGTATAGGTTGATCGATATACCGATATGAAACGTCATGTATCCTTTTATCGCTATATGTATAGCAAATATTACATATCGATTTATCGATATCAAAAGATTTATAACACAAACTCTGAAGTATGTTTTAATCGAAGTTCTAATTGAAACAATATAGCTCAGTTAGAAAATATTGTAATTTATGCAAACAAGAAGGAGTGCAAATGAATATCTTAGTGTTTAGAACTGAATAAATTTGTAATCCACTTTAAGATAAGACACACTACATGTATGCGTCTTAAAGTGTATACAATAAAGTTTAACATCGAAAGTAACAAAGGACACCTGCTTTCTTCGAATCTCTAACTGAATCTCGCAATATAAGTTATGCTATATAATTTTTAACCTACGTAATATATCGGTTCTCGTGAATATCACAATAGAAAAAGTTCTCGATTGAACTGATCAAGTGACAGTTCTGCTAAAAATACTGCAAATCAAAATGAAAACGAAAATTACAGTACTGACTGATAATGTATGCTAGTATACTAAAGCTTTTTTTCCCAGTAAAAAAAAGTACTTGTTAAACTTAAGCATGTTAAGTACCATATAAGAAACAACAGGAAATCGCGACTTTGGGTCTTTGCAAACTACAAGTCTGTATTTTTTGGGTAGTTTTACCATTAATATTCATAATTGTCTCCAATCATCCTTCAAACTGTACATAATGTGATTCTGAAGCGTTCTGTCCAAAGTAATGCTTCCTATGGGAGACTTATTGTGATGGAGGAGCCTAACCATTATTTGCATCAAACAAGATTCTAGACCAGAGTTAAGAAATCGAACGCTGACTCAGAAAAGTCGTGCCATTTATAAATTAAACTTACCCTCATGATTTTCCGACAATACTAAGAATGTTAACACTCCTAGTATCAAGAGAGCTAATTTGACCAAGTATTTGGCGGCCATTGTTCTTTCCAGTAATAAAGAGAGAAGCCAGATGCTAATAGTCACGTGACTACTCTTAAATTTGCTAAGAGGTTTACGAGCGATTATATCTATAAGTAAAGTAATCGTGTTTAAAAATAGAAAATTCTCATACAGTAACTCCTTAATGATAAATACTATTACGTTTCTTTATATTTTGAACATAACAGAAAACACAAAACATGGACTCTTTCCTTTTGCCTTAATAAAATAATCTTTAAAGAATATGAGAAAGGTACTATTTCTATGAGGTAGCGCTTTGCACTATCTTAGTATCTTACGGTACGTTTACAAATAATAAAAGTTTTCATTGTTATTTTACAAGTGTAAACTTTCTATAACATCTTCATAAGAAAAATTAAAAAAAAATTAAAAGGGTTAGCAACAGTAAGACGACGTATTATATAATTACGAAAAACCCCAAAGATAATTTAATTAACCGTTAATAACATTCTGTGTAACAAAAAATTAGTATATAGTAAATTATAATTAATGATCATTAATTTAAAAAAAATTAAATATCATTCTCTTTGGGTGCATTTCATTTCCTGAATTTTTGGTAATTATCAACTTTTCATTTCCGACATTTTTTATTTTTCATTTCCGACATTTTTTTTGTTTTCATTTCCGAAATTTTTTTGTTTTCATTTCCGACATTTTTCAAATACATAATTAGTACCTATAGCATCGTCTCAAGCCACGGTCCGGAGTCCGCATATACATGTAGCTCTCTCCAGAATTATAGTAACAAATTTGATAACTTTACTTATGAAAAATTTAATGGAATAAATCATAAATTAATGAAATCCAATTTTGTAAATCTATCAGTGACTTGGGCATAAGTATGGTGCTGTTACTGACAAAACAAAATATGGTGAAAAAGTTTTATGGTCATTAAACTCTTTTACCTAGACTTAGTGCTATTACATGTATCCATATATGTATAATTTTTTTTTAAATTTTTATAAAGATTTTGGCATCAATACTTTTAAAATTCCATTTTCTTTTATTTAGAAAACATTAAATTGCCGCACAGGTAAATTCCGGAAATGAAAAAAAAATTATGTCGGAAATGAAAACAAAAAATGTCGGTAATGAAATAAATATATGTCGGAAATGCTATGCACATTTCCGGAAATGAAATGCAGCGTTCTCTTTCGTTTTAATATTTTCCTTAATTATTTAGTGAATAAAATTTATTTTATTATACAAATAATTTAAACAGTTAGTGTCTAAAAAGAATTTAAAAGTTAAATAACAAAGGTTAGTTTTAAGGTTACTAAAAATGTTCTATTATCTAATCTACAGAGAAAATCAGACCGACATACCTTCCGGTTTCCGCCTTTCTAATTTATCTTTTGATTTGATATCTAGAGACAAAAAGCGCCCTCTATTATTCTACATTGTATTTCATTCCAAATATCTTTTTGCATGTGTTTATTAGTATAGGGATATTAAATACAATAGCCTTCAATAGTTGTGTCATGCTCAGTGTTATAATTTTAAATTTTACGAAAATTATTTCAAGCAGTGTAACCTTATAGTGCGATTGCTGCAGTGGTTTGCACCGACACGCATGCATAAAATATTTACTTTTAGATAAAAAACAATCGATATTTACTTACCCACACAAACTGGACAACACGTATCTGGGGACTGATAGAAATTACTACAATGTGGCTTTATGACACACGTCTTCAAAAAACAGTAAATTTGTCCAGACTGTAAATAAAGCAAAACGAAAAAAAATAATTCAAAATAAAAATAATGAAAGAAAATAATGTTTTCAACATCCGTATACTTTCAAATGATACATGCAGAAATATATTTTTATTCAATTTTATCTATCTAAAGAAGTTAAAGTTCCATATTTTAATCCACTTTAAACCTAATAGTATTCAATGTTTTTTTTCGGAGCCAAACATACAAGTTTCTTTAGTGAATTTTTTTAACTCTCTCTCTCTCTCCTTCCTACAAACCTGGCAAATGCAGTTTACACACTGGTCAGATCTGGTAGGGGTGATATGTGTATTGTTGTTGGAGAAGAACTGGTTGTGATCATAGATCCGCCCCTCAAACTGACACTTCCGGTCCTTATTTCCGGCCTCCCCGTCGTCAATCGGCGCTACTGTAGGAATGATGTTTTTTAGATCTAGGTGAAAATATAGTGCGGGATCTCTATTTCAGGCCAGAAAATCTACACAGCCATCGCCCCACAACATCGACTTTATATTACTGATAATTATTTGGAACATATGCATAAATTGACGCACATAAATTTTATAAATTATCAAAATTATAATGTGCGGAAAGAAAATAAGAAATAAGAAAATAAAAATCTACAAGATAATGAATAAGTTATATTTAAAATATCTAAATGAGATTCTGTAGGAATGAAAGAGAGGTGGTCACCTTCACAGACCGGACAACATGCCCCCACTGGATATCGAGGCGCCTCACAGTTTAATATTGGACACTCCACTTTGTCACAGGTTACGGTGTTCTAGTGAAACAAAATATTATAGCTACAAGAAACAGTTTTACTCATAATTATTGAAGAAAAAGACAATTATTACTAATATTGAAAGAAGCGGTTTTATAAGAAAACACGCCACACATCCGGTAAGTTTCAGTGATTCACTTGGATAATTGCTAACAATAAATAACGTTGATAAGAGCAACGTATTACAATAAATTACATCCATATCAAAAATGAAAAACAAAAAGTTACATTAATATCAAATAAAAATTAAATAAATAAATTAAATAATCCCAGTAGTTATACATGTATACTGAAAATATTTGCAATTTATAATATCAAATACTATTTCACAACGCCTCTTTATTTCCTTGTTTTGTATGTATCGAGATTTTTTTTTTTAAGCTAATTGTCTCATGAGAAAATTTTATTTCATATTAAATAGAAAGGAGAAGAAAAAAATGAAATATAAAAATCATTTCCTTTAATGATATGGTCAATTTGAACGGATAAATTATGATGAAAGCTTTTTTGATCTTTGACAAAAACTTTTTTGAATGAATTTGCAAGTATTTATTTACACTTTGTTCTCCGACTAACTAGTAAATATGAACTATGTCGTTTAATTAATTTTTCAATGGTTTCATAAAAAGAAATATTGCAAGGATATTTAGCAGTGCAGACATGCGACTTTAGACCAACTTTTCATATCGCCAGGTTTAATTATGATATTTTTATATTCGGGATAAAATGTTTGTTTTCTAAATCACGAATTTGTGTCATAATCCTCCATCTCTTTGTGAGAAAGAGGCGCTCAAACAAACGCCGGAATGAGCCAGACTTTCTCACGATTTCACGACGACACGAGGCGGCTTCCCGCCAAATCGAGGATAATGGCGCAGACGCACGGGGTAATCGGCGTTTGAATGAAGTCAGTAGGGTATAAAATTGACTGTTCATCTGAAGGAAACTTACATCGTGAAAGCAGGTACAGTTGACACAACCCGCGCCTATCTTCTGTGAATCCTTTACAGGGTTCCAGTGATCACCCTCTTTGTAAAAATGCTTGTTATCAACTGTGCAATTTGCGGCCTCTGGAAAAAAGAAAAGAAAAGATATTTATCTAATAATTATATAAAATCACCTATTTTATTAATAAAATGAATTGTACTAAAATATTTTTTGTCTCTGAAAATCTGAATACCTTTTAATTTGTTTATTTTCATGTAGGTGTTTTGTATTCTTCTGTGAAAGCTCGTTTATGTTAACATATTTCAAAAAAGCTTTTTGACAATGACAGGCTTTTAAAGTGTTGAATTTCAAATTGATGTTCCTTTTTAAATTCCTTCAATGATTCCAGAGAAGATCAATTACACAAGACTCTTGATGCTTGTCATCCTTAAACAGGGACATTTTTATAATTGATTTTATAAATTTAAAAATAATCACCTTCATTTGAACGGATCGGCGCGTGGGGGCGCCAGCAGCGCCGAGCTCGCGCTGCGTGAGAGCAGACGAGAATTTGAATGATCAATCAATGCAATGGCAGAAAGCATTTACACAAACTTTTGAACTTTGTACACTAGTGTTGCCGACTCTTAGTCGGTGTCTTAACACAACAAAGGCTTGAATAAAAAACCTGCTTCGTAATAACAAGTTATAATGTGCTAAGTTTACGACGTAAACAGCAGGCTTTACTCTAACGCACCCCATCACCTTCCGGTTACAACTTATAAGGTCGCGTGCACTCATAAGGAAACATTTCCCGGGAAAAAGCTCGTTCTCTCTCTTAAAATAAAAAAAAGGAATAAAAATCTAGGTGGGGAATTACAAATAAAGTTTTTGTGTTGGGTGGGACGCCAAGAAAAACGGGTAAAATTCTCTTAGATGTCAAAGATATAAGGCCCTATAATTTCCCGCCCTCCAGAAAACTGGACCTTCCCATATCGTGTTACTGCGGCCGAAGTTTACATTATTTCAGACTGATATTGGATTTGGCGAATTTTTTTGGCAAATTGATCAGAATCTTTTTCTGTGTTTCGACTTACAAGATAATATTTTTTATTTATTTATTAAATCTTGCATTGAATTAAAATAATATTCATGTCAGTTTTACTTGGGTATCGGTTTCACTTGATTATATCTTAGTAAATATTTCTAATCTAAGGTTAAAAGATTGATATTTAATCTATATTAATATATCTGGGCGTGACTTTCCATAAGTTAATTTTTAGAATAGGAATTGTAACATTTTGGAATGGATTTAAAGAACCAATGACCTAGGAAATCCGCCTGTCTATATGCAATAATTCATAGTTGTCCGCTTCGTTAAATTTTGTAAAATACCCTTTAAAAAGTGAAATTAAATTACACTAGCTAAGAGGAGTAAAATTGTGGACATATTTCTAATGTCAGCTAGCGTCTCCTTATTTGAGACAGTAATCTTAAACAAAAAGATTCGTTATCGCGCCAATCAATGACAAAGGCCGGTCTTACTTATTACTTATCGCTCTTAATGATAGTAAAACGTCGCCTCATAGATGCCCATTCCGATAAAATATGATCTTTTCAATTTGTTTAAATAAAACGCTGGTCACTTGGTCGATCCTTTTTATTTTTTATTTTAATGTTTTGCATAGTTTAGATAATGTATTAACATTTTTAGTAATTGTTCTAGACTTATAGTGGCAGATGCCGGAACTGATAAAACGCAAGTTTTTACGTCAAATTGAGACAGGGCTGGGCTTAAGAACGAAGGAGTTAGGGAATTAAACCCAAGTAAATTAAAAGGTTTTGTTTTGTATGTGTAATCTGTCTAAGGAACAATCGTTCGTTGATTAGAGTCGGTCCCCCACTCGAGACAGTAAGGGCCATGGACTAGTGATAGGGATGGCGGACAGAATACGACAATTTCAAAAGGTTTGGCAGACGATTGGAAGCACGCGACTCCAGGGAAACGTCGCCAGGTGTGAATTTCTTCTCGTCTGTTGGTCACGAGGGCGCTCTCTGAGCGAGATGTTGGGCTGAGCCTTGATCGATAACATCGCGAGTATGGGTTTATCGCATTAACATGACATTTCATGGCATGCACTCTGATTATTTTATAAGCAGGTAAACAGACTTATTATGGGGGTGATAATGTTTACCTGCTGAGAGTCTACTACCACTATAGATAATATTGAATACAATTGTAAATCAATTAAAAAATGCCCATCCGTCTAGGTCAAGGGAAAACGGGCGATACTATTCAATTTCATCGTATTGTTAAAATGTGTATTTACCAGAAAAGGCCGTAAAAATTTGCATATAAGAAGTGTCAACGAAATTAAAATGCAATAGAAGAACAAAAATAACAGTGCGAAAGGGGGGGTTAATAAATTAAACTGAGAAAGGTAGATAAAATATCTTATTCTGAGTGGAATTTTAAAAAAAAATTCTTTTAAAATTCTTTTTTTTAATATATGTGAAAAACTGTAGTCTTGGCGTTTATGTAATATGGTTGACTACATATAAAATAGGATGTTATTGCAAATACGTGTGAAAGAATTCTATATCTATATGTATATACACAGTGTGTCCTTTTCAAAGTATTTCTCTAACTGTTTTTGATATTTTCATTTCATCTGTTTCTAGTCACTTCTTATAAAAATTTACTATAGGTAAGTTCGATTTAATATTTTAAAAACTTTTTTGAGAAGTAACTTAAAAATTCATCTAGAAACAGTGAAAGACTTGAATGATTAAGATACTCTTTGTAAAGTTAATTTTATCATGTAGCAAATTTGAGGTTTAATACAAAGTTTATAACTATACACTGGTATAAAATATACATCTGTGTTATTGAAATTGTCATAAAAGGCAATAAATTCGAGATAATTTGATGCCTCGAAGAATATCGACCAATTAAAGTTAAAAATAGCCCTATTGTACGAAAAGAAACTACATTTGGCGAGAAGCTGGCGACTTTGGAAATAGTTATGGATTCCTTGCAATCTATTTATCACTTCTCGGTGTCTAGTAATGACTTAGGAGCTACCTACCAATGTCATATCTTCACAGAACTGGGACAAAAACATGCAACATTTTAGTTTTTGGAGGGGAATAAATAAAAATTTACTGTGTAAATTAAACGCTTAATTTACAACATGTAAAAAATAGTAAAACAGTAGTCTTTTTAAAGTAATATTAATCGTCTTCCTACAGTGTATATGTCCGAAATTAGCCAATGCCACCTTTTTCCTTGAATGAATTACAGTCTTTCAAAATAAAACATAAATTTTTGTGGATTTTTCACACACTAATTACTATAAAGTGGGAATGTTATTATTATGAGTGCGATAAGTAAATTTGTTTTTTGGAGCCAATAAATTAGTTCTAATGATCGATTGACAAGTTAAATCGTCGCCAGACAATGAGGACATCGTGTATAGCGTCCGTAAACACCGTCCTGGAACCTAGGACTATCTCCTGATCGACTAATTGCCGAAAAACACGACTAACGATATAGGTAAAAAATAGGTAAAAAGCTACCTCTCAGCTCCAGTCGAGACAGGAGTGTTATGGTATTCCAAATTACTGTTTTATTGTAAAAGACACTTTTCTTCCCTAAATTAGCCTTTACCCCCCAGTCCCCATATATCAAATAATCTGAATAGTTTTCGAAAGTGGGAAGCGTACGTTTATTATATTGCTGAGATATTACTGCAAAAAGATGACGTCAAACATGGTTTAACATTTTCTCTATAATTCTTTTTGTTGATACGGAAATCTAAAGAGGCAAAAGTTTATTCAAAATATCCAGTGCATCAGCTTCTATTTTGTTTAATAGATTGTTTTACATGCGTTCATCATCAGATGGGTAAAACTCGATAGTACGAGTGTTATTTTTCAAAGGTTTTGTATAATTTGAATTTTTAACGCGACAAAGATACCGAAAAGCCAGAAAATTAAGGAGATAGGTTGACGGATGCCAAATTATCACCAGAACACTTTACGCCTGTTGGATAATAATTCTATACATTGTCTTTTGAAAGGCGATGAAATTTCCTTCCAAAGATGCTTTCACTTGAAATCTATAGAATAAGAAATCAAATTTTCTCCTCGTTGACTATAGAAGAGAATCACACAATCGTATTATTGAGCCATTCAGCCAATAAAGCTCTGTGTTATCTGTCTCCCAGATCGTCATATCCAGTAGAAATCTAAGCTATTCTATTTCAATTGATGATTCCAGCAGAAAACACATCAACAGAGCAATTGACTTTACAGCTTTGACTTGCAGAGAGTAAGAGCTGTGTTTAAGATAGCTATCGTCAGTTTAACTTCAGACGAAGAAAGATTCTTTTCACTTTAAGCAAACGCTTTAAATTCGATATGATCATTACATTGACTGATAATATCTTTTGAAATTTGAAGCTACATTACAGACATAAAAAAGACCTTACCTGTAGAAATTATTCCACAAATGATAATTGTTAAAACCGCTAAGCTTTTCCACATGTTATCTAAACAAAAGAATTACAGGTATAGTTCAAATCTACATGTAAAAAGTCAGGCATGTCCTAGGTATCCAACGGGACTTGTTAACTAAATACTGGGGAACTTGTAACATAGTCCGTCATGTGCAATGTTTTCTGGAGTTAAATCACTATAATACTCTATTGAATATATATATCACAGTCCTGAAACTTTTCTTGTAATATTGAGATAATTGAAATTCAGAGGAGCCAATCACCATTGGTCACGTGACCGCCCGCCTAGGGAGGTCCAAAACCCAATACCCAAACTGTATTTTCAAAGATAAATTAAGGCATTTATTTTCCAATCAAACTTTGCCATACACAGATTTTTTTTTGGCTGGCGTCTTTATATTGCTGTGTCTGTTTTTAAAAATTTGACGCGCACGTGTTTATTAGGACTCCATTTAATAACGTTAAACTATCGTATAAGTCCTAACTTTAACATTATAGAAATAAAGGAGAGATTTGTCTAGTAAATCTGCGAGCTAACTGTGATGATAGAGTGATTTTTTAACGTCCCGTCGATCGCCTGGCGCCCAGGAATGGATCTTTTCTTATTTAATATGTATATAAGGAAATGTCGGTGTTACGGGTTTTATACAATCATCCTAAAATACTGAAATCATTTAACCGCACGAGAAATGTAATACCATCTTTGAAAAAATTACAGATATTTTGTTTTTAAAAAATTTAGCACCATCGGATTGAACATATATTTTACATACGAGTAGGGAACTAAAAGAGAAAAAGTGACAAAATTGGATTTAATGGTGAATAAAGTTTATAATTATTTTCCTCCATTTAGGGTTTAATTCTTTTTTAAAACTTTCTTGCCTTTTAGCAGAATATTTTAAAAATGATACAATCAAGAAGAAGAAAGAAAAGAATTCGAAGATGGGAAATGATTTTTCTGGTAAAAGTATGCAAAAATCACTGGTAAATTTTTATTTCTGTGGATAAGTTAAAGGGTTAACTTAATTTTCTTTCTTAACGAGGAATAGCGAGGGGGGATTTCTCAACTTTTTAGAAATTGATGGATAAAGAAAGCTAACTAGTTCAATTGTAATGTAGTTAATTATTTTTCTTGGTATTATCTCGCTTTTATAAATAATATCCATACTGAAATGAAAGAACACAAATGATGAATATATGCTGTGTCGTTGTATTATTACTGATCAAAACTACAAAAGTGTGGATCTAAGGATGAATTAAAAAAAACTTCTGGGTAGGGTTGAACCAAAATATGTTTAACCTTTACAATACTGAACTGACTTGTGGTCTTTGAATACCAGAAGTACTCAGGTGAGCGATATGTCGCATGGGCCTCTTGTTTTACTCCATACTACCACAAATACAAGTCAAACTCACAGGTCAAGTTGAGAGATCCAAATGTGTTACCCCAAAAAATGACTTGTCTCTATAAATATGCATAAATATGCATGTAAAATTTGAAAACCGAAGCGGAATCCATTCAAAAGTTAAGGCAAGGTTAAATACTAGTATATGGTAGGCCTACAAACTCCAGGGTCAAGGTGGGTAAATAATATTGTTATGCTCCGTAATCGAAGATTCGGGGGTATAACGTTTTTGTCGTATCCGTCCGTCTGTCTGTTTGTGCGCAAAAACTTTAATCCTGCCCATAACCTTTGATTTAGTGGAGTGTGACTTTAATATTTCACATGTGTATTCCTTGTGACAAGGAAATTTGACCTTGACCTTGGAGTTTGACACACGTTTAGACAAAAATTCCAAACTTTTACTTTGGCCATAACTTTTGAACGGTAGATACTAGGACTTTCATATTTCATATTTGTATTCTTTGTGGTTAGACAGTTCATTGGATACCAACAACTTTGATTTTTTACCTTGACCTTGAAGTTTAACTAATTTTTTTTAAAAACTTGTTGATCTTTTGATTATGACCATAGAGTTTTACCCATTTTAAATGACTTGGTCAAAAAATTTGAAAAGTTAGTACCAGGGCTTTCAATTTTTACAAGTATATGCCTTGTGACCAGAACTTTCTTTAGATACCAACTATTTTGACCTTGGCCTTGGAGTTTGACTTGCGTTTGAGAAAATTTAACCTTCTCCATAAGCTGCCATATAGAAACATCAGTGTTTCATAAACACATCTAGTTTTTGTTGTTCCTCGTTTTCGCGAAAGCGAGGGGACATTAAATCTCATTCGTCTGTCAGTCTGTCCTTCTGTCACAGAAACTTTAACCTTGGTCATAAATTTTGAATTACAAGAGAAGAGACTTTCATATTTCCTATGTACATTACCTGTAGCAAGAACTTTCCAAATAGTCTATGGCTTTTGACTCCATGACCGTAACCATTAAGTTTTACCTATTTTTCAAAGATTTAAACATTACTTTAAATTGGTCATAACTTTTAAAAGAGAAAAAATAGGGTTTTCATATTTATACATGTACGTGTACATTGCCTTTGAAAAGGCTTTTCTCAATATTCTATGACTTTTGACCTGTTGACCTTCAAGTTTAACTTACTTTTTAAAAATGCTATTTTTTTCCTTTTAACTTTTGATTGAGAAAAGATAAGGCTTTCATGTTTGACATGAGCATTACCTATGACATGATGATTCCGAGCATGCTATAATTTTTTACCCCTCGACCTTGACTTCACGTTTGACCTAATTTCAATAATAAAAAATTACTTTTGAATAACATAATAGGGCATTCATATTTGACACAATATATCATAAATAATAACATCCCATCCACTACGACACCGAAAACGGGGGACCACATTTCTTCGAATTTGCCTTTTTATGCAGATTCGGGGATATTTAGTTTTTGTCGTGTCCGTCCGTCTGTCTTTCTAGCTGTCTATCTATCTGTCTGTTTGTCCGCAAAATCTTTATCTTTGCCCATACCGTTTGATTCAGTGGAATAATGACTTTCATATTTTACATGTCTATTCCTTGTGACAAGACCTTTCTTTGGGTACCACCAAATTTGACCTCTTTAGACCTTGACCTTGGAATCTGACACACTTTTACACAAAAATTCCAAACTTTAACTTTGGCTTTAACTTTTGAACGGTAGATACATGTACATGTACAAGGACTTTCATACTTGACATATGTATTCTTTGTGACAAGACCTTCCATTGGATACCAACAACGCTGAGGTTCCTTTAATCTGTGAACATTGAGATATTTCTATCTCTGAACGTATTTATAAGGCTTTTAATTGTTTCAGAAATTTCCAGCTTTTGACCTTGACCTTGGAGATTAACGTACTTTAAACAAGATGTGTTTGTGAAACACTATGCGCCCGGCGGCGACAGTTATAAAAGCTATTTTAGCCAATAGGTCACAGTCAAGGTCAAAAGGTCATTGACCTTGGTGTCACTTGAAAGAACTTGATTAGGCCTAGTGGAGTATACCAAATATGAAGTCTCTATCTTTCAAGGTGTAAAAGTTATGACGAAGGTTAAAGTTTGCAGACAAAGACGCTATTTGTAGCATATAGATCACAGTCAAGGTCATAAGGTCAATGACCTTGGCATCGTTTGAAAGAGTTCAATTAGTGGAATAAGCATACTAAATATTAATTCTCTATCTTTCATGGTTCAAAAGTTAAGATGAAGGTTAAAGTTTGCAAACAAACAAACAAGGAAACAAAACAGACAGACAGACAGGACAAAAACAATATACGCCTCGGATCTATCGATCCGGGCGCATAAAAACTTTAACCTAGGCTATACCTTTTGAACGCTTAGGCTTAGGGCTTTCATACTTCACATATTTAATCCTTGTGACAAGTCATTTCATTGGATATCAACAACTTTGCCCCTTCGAGCTTGACCTTGTAGTTTGGTCTACTTTTTAAAAACAAATCTTGACCATAACTTTTGAAGGGTTAGGTCTAGGGCTTTCATACTTCACATATTTGATCCTTGTGACAAGATCTTTCATTTAATACCAACAACTTTGACCCTTTGACCTTAACCTTGGAGTTGAATAAACTTTTTGAAAACTTAAATCTTGGCCATACCTTTTGAAGGGTTAGGGCTAGGGTTTTCATACTTCACATATGTAATCGTTATGACAGTATCTTCCTTCAGAAACCAACACCTTTGACCCTTTGTCCTTGGAGTTTGTCCTACCTTTCAAAAACTTATCCTTGACCATAACTTTTGAACAGGTGGTGCTAGCTAGGGCTTTCATATTTCACAAAATTTTGTATTTCTTTTGAGAAGATCTTACTTTGGGTAGCAACATATTTAACTTGCATTTTATTTTAAGAAAAGTTTTATTCTTCACTGTGTTGCCATACGGGGGCATCAGTGTTTCACAAACATACCTTGTTTTGCCTATTAAAAATCATTTTTGATTTTTAAAAATGACATTGAATTGGGATCACGTGGTTTGGCGAAAAAAAATTGGTTTGTAAGGATATTTGATTTCGTTGTTGAAGAAATGTTAAGTTGTTTTGTACATTTCATTAGGACTTGAATTCGTTAGATGTCTTCCCACAACGAAAATGAACCCCCACCCAAATATCGGAAGGGGGTATATGTTTTATTACAAGAAAAATAAGTTATGTCAGGTATATATAAAGGTAGGGGTATATTTTTTTACAAATACCTGTGTTCAGCTTCCATTCATCAAGTTAAAATTCATTAATTGTTTGAGAAGGAATGCGAAGATTTTAAGAGTAAAGTTCAAAAGGTTAGTCCTATAGTATTTAAGCAAGCACTCGTTGGGACTTTAAGACACAATCAGCTTCAATCAGTCTTGCTGACACGTAAGTGACGACATATTAGACATGTAAGATACTCAGACATTCCCTCTAGGTTGGGCATGGTAACAACACTAAGTTTTAGGTGTCTGAGTCGCTGTGCGTGTCTTGAATATTATTTTACTGATCAATGAAATCATAAAAGTCACAAGCATTATATGAATGAAAAAGATGAGTTTTAGATGTGGAACAATCCTCAACAATATCCAGTTTCCTTCAGACATAAAGATGGAATAAATCCGACAGGAGAATCGTAGTATCGATGTTTTAGTGTTTAATGCCAAGTTGTTAGTCACGCTCACTGGAAGTATGGCTTGGTGCGTTCAGTGTC